ATTATATACTGTAAATCTAATCAGGGAAATGAAATACTTTCTACAATCTTTTTATCTTTTCAACTAGGTGAATATATTGAAGTTTTTGGAATTCTGAGATTCATACATTTTTATTATTAAAGGGTGGATATTACTTGACACTCACAATATACTCATAAATGATTATAATAAAGATGAGAGCCATGCAAATGTTGCACTTAACAATGTTGCACTTAATATTAACATGTAATAATCTGAAATAAAGTAAGATATTATTCAAATACATACATTTCTAAGCCATTTCAATACTTAAATTATTAATTACAGTTATAAATTAATACCAAATATAAAATGAGTTGCTACATAGCTCCTTTAATATTATTATAGATACTTTCTAGAAATGTAGTATGTTACATGGAATTTAAAAACCTGATTTTGTTAACAAAAATACTTCTTTAGATTAAAAATCAACTTGTATTTGTCTTTATCCCAGATACTCTGTTTTGAGATGTTCTCCCTCCCTTTTAACATTAAACTGGTAAAATAGTCTCAGTGGAACTAGCAGAAGCACATATTTCATATCCTAGGCACAAAAGCAATTCTCTGGCTGGATTAAGTTTAATATTACTAGCACACAGAACATTTTACATCAGCCTTATTAAATTCAACTCTCACCTTACTATAGAGAAAGATTTTTTAAAAAGTACAAAATTGGAAAATGGACAAATAAGAAAAGGCAAAGGAAATGTGCCAAATTTTGCCAGTGATGCTCTCAGAACAAGATATCTTTATGAACAATAATAGCTTACATAAAAGTTGCCATATACATAAATCTTCTCAGTGCCACAATCCCATACAATGTATGAACATCAAAGGGAGAGGTCCCTACAGTTGATTTTCCATTTCATATAAAGCTATAACTCTCACTCTGGAGAAGTATGCACATAGACACATACACATAAGTACATACAAAGAAAGCAATTACCTAGAAAAGTAGTCCATAAGAAAGTTTAATATTTTATGGGGTAGGAGGAAGACTAGGGAGAAAGGATGGGTGATGAGGGAGGAGGAGGAGGAGGAGGGGGGGGAGAGATGTTCAACACTGTCTGAATATACAACGAAGTTACCAAAATGGAGTCCGGACTGGACTTACCATCAACAAGGGGGAAATAGTGAAAACTAAAGGAATAAATGTGCTCTATGGAAATAACTTCAAGAGTCAGTATGAAGATGATCACTACAAATACCTGAGGCTGACAATATCAAGCATGCTGAAGTCAAGAAGAAGGTTAGTAGTGAATACTGTATATCATGAGAAATGAAAAAGATCTCAACATTCAAACTCAATGGTAGAAAGACAGTTAACAGCTGCAAAAATTCAGTTATTAGATATATAGCAGACTGACTTAAACTGAACAAAAAGCCCTATATAGAAAGACCAGAAAAGGAAAAGGAATCACATCCATTCAGTGATGTTGAAAGACTCTATGAAGAAGCATAGGAAGGCATGGAATGTTGCAAGTACACAAGACAACTGAAGAATTAAAAAGGGCAATATCTGAAGGACAGTGAGGGAGATGGACTGAAGCTAGTACACCATGAAAGCTTAGTGAGTACCAAAGAGACCAACTGATGTTTAAGAAAAGCCAAATGAAAAATAGAAAAGATCATGGCCAATACATTAAAAAACACTACTAGTACATAAAGCATATAAAAATGAGACCTGACAAAGGCTAAGAGAAAGAGGCAGAGAGACTAATTCTGATTTCAGAAAATCAAACATTAAGAATAAATGCATATAAAGCCAGAACTGAGAAGACCACAACCAATAACAAATACCATCTCTGCTAAGAAGTTGAAGAAACAGTAAAATGCCTAGTTAGAATTGGTTGTAATTGTTATATTCAAAATGAACAGTATTTAATATTTATTTGTTATGTATATGTAGGAATGTGGGTCTGTACATATGTTGTATATAGTATGTTTAGGTGTGTGTCATGTATGTGTTTCACTTTGAGAGTGGGCAACTAAATTTCATTTTTGATGTGTGCCGTTGTGCCCACAGTAAAAAAATGACAATAAAGGTTATCTTATCTTATCTTATCTTAGCTGCTGCAAGAAGATTGCACAGACTGACTACAAATAACAGCATGGCAAAGTAGCAACAATGGTGTGTTAGCAAATCTTCAAGAAATATCATTTGCTTCAAGAATTGAAGAATTGGGGCAGGGGAAATAATAGAAAGTGAATATGTTAAACTTCTGAAGTGAATTGAAACAGAAAAGTATCTGAACATAACAATCCAAACTTAACCATTGTTGATAAGAAAGACAAAGAATACCCGAAGTACCTGGAGTCAGCAGAAGAGAAGAAAAAGAACTGGAGAAATGCACAAAATATGAAAATCTGCAAATAGAGTGACTTGGGCAAAAGGAAGCAAATATAGTACCAATGGTAATAGGCTTCTTGGATACAATACTAAAGCAAGTGGAGCTCCACCTGAACACTATCAGCATTGACAAAATCATCATTAGTGAATTGGAAAAGGTAGATTACTGGAACAGCTTATATCCTGAAATAAAAATCCTTATATCCTTTAATACAGACATGTCAAACTCGCAATGTCATGTGACGTCGTGTGATGTATTGGAGCTTTTTTCCCCTTGCCTGCAATGGGGTGGGCTTGGTTTCCTGGTGACGCATCTGGCCCATGGGCCGGCAGTTTGACAGTCCTGCTTTAATGCAATCAAACAACAGCATCTACCTATTCCAGAATCTTGGGAAGTACTGTACTCAATAGATGAACAAAATGCCAAATCAAGTTTAAACATCTGGCTGACTCTATCATCAACAATAATTTATTAAATTTATATTCTGCTGCAGTCACAGAGACTCTGGGTGGTTTACAAATCAAACATTAAAAAACAGAGAAAAATAGTAAAAATGGCAAAGATCAGAAATCTAAATAGGAAAATGATCCACAAAATTATCCTTCATTAAGATGGCATTTTTTTCTTTGACATCCTAATATATAACATTTGGAGAAGAACAACAATAAATAGACATTCTAGATTTGAGATTCATGAATATTTATGTCTCAAATACTTTAAAAAATACCACAGTATTATTACTTGCTTTTTAATAACTATATAAGCTTTGTGAAAAACAGCAGACTATTTAAAGCAGACATATCAAATTCGTGACATCACGTGATGTCACGCAATGTATCGGAGCTTTTTCGCCATTGCTGGAAATGGGGTGGGCATGGTTTCCCAATGACGCGTCTGGCCCATTGGCCGGCAGTTTGACACTCCTGATTTAAAGAATCAACTATCCCCATAGAAATATTCAGAAAAAAATGACATAGTGGAATATAGCAAATGTATATATGTAAGTTCTTTTATCATTTGATTCAGGCACCAATGAATCTTACTGCCTTCTGGGGAAAAAAAGCTTTTTAGAAATTGTGCATATACCTAAAAATAACTCTTGCTTCTTCGTGTTATATAATGTACTACGGCTTTGACAAACATTCAGAAGTGAGCACATCTGTCAAGTTCTATTTTGTTCAGTTTCTCATTATATAACCTTACAATTAATATTACACAGCAGTTAATTTTGTTACATGGTCATGCTCATTTCTATTAATAGATGAATATTTGTAGAAATTTCACTTTAATGTATATATAATTTTTCTAATATACAAAATACTTATCAGTCAGTTAATTTAAATAGTTTGTTTTCCAATGCAGTATATATTTTTCTATAGATATAATCTACCATGTTCAAATTGGAATAAATACAAATTTCAGAATGTAATGTCCAAATGTACAAAGTGTGAATTGACTAAATTTTTATTCAAATATAAAAAAAATACATTTTATCTTATATCTTGGAACATTGCTGAGATATCCATAGAGTTAGCATACTCTTTCAAATTACTGTCAGAACTCTTATGGGGTGGCAACAGTCTATCAGGATGTTTATTTTCTCATATTAGGTGAAACTATTTTTCAGTTTAGTTCAATATTACAGGTTTTGACTAGTAGCAACATTATACTTTATTTAGGGAAAATATTTACATGAAGCTATGAATCTTGCTATAATAATAATAACAACAACAAAAATAACAATAATTTTATAATAATAAAAAATAAACTTCAATCTTGTAAATTTAGTTCAATTTTTGCCTTCCATGTGAATTTTTTTCAAACTGCCATCATCCCTGTTTTGTGAGCAGAGATTTTCTTCATGTCTTCATGTCATTTAGAAATTTACTTTCTGTATTGTCTAGTAACCAGGAATGTATATGCAGCACTCATAAAACTATTATTTAATGCTACAAAAATTCAATAATGGACATAATGAATTTTGATACATAGAGCTAATATAAATGTAAATTGGGATGCAATTTCCTTCCTTCCTTCCTTCCTTCCTTCCTTCCTTCCTTCCTTCCTTCCTTCCTTCCTTCCTTCCTTCCTTCCTTCACATTCAATACTACCCATTACACTCCTAACATATTAGCATTTGTATTTGGTATGGATTTTAGCACAATACTTCCTCTCTCCTCTCAACTTATACACCCTCTCTTCACCTTTGACTTTTTACACTTGAATAAACTGAATGATTCAGTTCATGATTTTTAGTAACCATAATTTACCAAGTTCAACCTAGATAAACTGTAATTAATTTCAATTATTAACAGTGGAAACAAGCCAACTTTGAACCACATTTTATGAAATTGATGTGCTATATTTTATCACCTTTAATCACAGTTTGCTTATTAGGAGATAAATTGAACTAATTGAACTAGAACAAAATAGACAATTTCCACTCTTGTCATGACTGGAACAAAAGATGAAAGGAGAGAAGTTGTATAGGTCAAAGGATAAATGAGGCTTCTTCTTGGGACTGAGTGCTACATTGATCTACAGCTATTTTCAGCTGAAGGTTTTATGAAGTTTTAGTAAACACTGAATATTCTTTTCCAACTTACATTATTTTCAGTATGACATGCTTACCTAGAACAGTGAGAAAAGCCTTGGATGTCTTGACAGGCATAGTAAATAAAGAACAGGTATATTGCCCTTCATCTGACAATGAAACATCAGTGACTCTAATGGTCAATTCATGCCATGAAGCTCGAAGCAGTTCAATCCTATTGTCCCTCAAGGCTGTAAACAAAAAATATAGAAATATTTATATATATTTATATATATATTCATTAATAAATGTAGTAAATTCTACATTCTGTTTGACAGTTTTAACTTGGAGCTAGAAGACTATCCTATGAACAGTATAGTTTAACCTAAAAAAATAAATATTAACAGATACAGCATGCCATTCATATGCACAAATGATAGTTTGACAAATGCATTAATGTTCTAAAAGGTGCAAACAAAAAGAAAAAAACAAGTTTCACTTTTGTAAATACTCTTTTTGCAAGGCAGTACATTGTTAAAATCAAAGCAAAATCATTGTGAGGAGAGATATAAAATAGAAAGCTAATGTTCATTCCATTTTATATGTTATAGCTTTTTTTAAATATATGTATTTAAAGTGCTTGCTGTTTATAATAAGAATAACCTGGCATTTTTTTGCAAAATAGAAAAGTCTTGCAGTCTCTTCGAGAGGAGCAACTGTATGAAGCACTTGCAGATGATCTCAAGTCTTTTCTTTGTCTAGAGAGGAATTGGTCTACTCACCAGCTCTTTATTTCACTTTATCACATTATTTCAGTGCAGCCATCTCCAGTTTGCTATTTCTTCCCTGGATGTCAGACTTTCATATATATAGGTAGTCCTCAACTTACAATCATTTCTTTAGTGACCGTTTGAAGTTACCATTTGAAGTAAATCCTCCATGGTCACATGGTCAAAATTCAGGCCCTTGACAACTTGCATATATTTATGACAGTTCCAGTATCCTGAGTTCATGTAGTCACCTTTTGTGATCTTCTGACAACAAACGTGTTACTAATTTAACAACTGCAGTGATTCACTTGCCAACTGTGGCAAGAAAAGTCATAAAATGGAGCAAAACTCAATTAACAATTGCCTTGATTAGCAACAAAACTTTGGGGTTCAACTGTGATGATAAGTCAAGAACTACTTGTATTTTTCAAGTAGAAACCTTTACCATAGATCTCTGCCAAAAATACGTTAATAGTATTTTGAATGCTACATATTCTACCTCCTTATCTATTCAAGCTTATATAAACAAATCCTTTCCTTCTCCCCTAAAAAGGTGTATATCATTTTAAATAGTAAAATTAAAAATGAATGAAACAAAAATCATTAAAACTGCAAATCCAGCTGTAAAAATCTCTTAAATACAAAACTCATCAATGGACACACAAAGTAAATGAATAATTAAATAAAGTGTTCATTATGGTCATAGACCAACATAAATGAGTAAGCACACTTAATTCTTTGAAATTTATCAAGAAAACACAATGAAAGTTAACCAAAATTATCAATAAAAACAAAGGATGAACCTAATGTTAAAAAAACAGCATGAAAAATCATAGCAGAAAAGATTGCTCAGTACAATTTATTTATGCAGAGAGTGGTGAGGATGGCCGAAAGGATCATTGGCAGCTCCCTCCCTCCCATCCAGGACATAGCACAGAAGCGTTGCTTGAGCAGGGTCCATAAGATCATCTAGGATACTACATATCCTCTTCACAACCTGTTTTCCTTGTTACCTTCTGGGAGGAGGCTTCGTGGTATCCGTAGCAGAACATCCAGAACATCCATAGTTTCATTCCATACAGCATTAACCTTGTGAACCCTCAAGCTTCCTCCTTCCGTTATATATTCAAGTTGGACCGTATTTAATATTTATTTGTTATGTATATGTAGGGCTGTGAGTCTATGCATATGTTGTGCATAGTATGTTTAGGTGCTGTGTCATGTATGTGTTTCACTTTGAGAGTGGGCAACTAAATTTTATTTTTGATGTGTGCCGTTGTGTCCACAGTAAAAAAAAATGACAATAAAGGTTATCTTATCTTAACATCGATTATGCTGATTGCATTTATAACCCACTTTTTGTCCTGGAATCATTCTACAATGTATGTAGGATATAACCAAAATTTATTTCTACACTAATAATGAGGGAGTTTGTAGCGAAAGTGAGTGATAGTTTCCAACTCACTCCTAAGTTGTTCCAAGATGAGAGTCTCAGTGAGCATTCTAATGCAGACCTACTTGGCAAGAGTCCAATAACTTAACTACTATGTTGTACTTAATTCTTGGTCTTCAATTATATGAATTGTGTCTGTGAGAGTGTAAAATATATGTAAATATGTAAATATTTCCAAAGCTGCAATGTGTAGGAATCTGAACAAAGCACCTTTTTTTAAAAAAAGGCTGATTTTTGCAAGTTTCACAGAACATCTGCAAAAACTGTTTCTGTCTCTTTACATGAATGTTCATGTACAGACAATACTTCCACAAGAACCACTAATGAAGTGAATATGCAGTTACTGTGCAAACATGAAAACAGCTTCTGAAGTATGCGTGTGATTTTGTAATAACCTGGATGCTTTAACAAAATTGCAAATTGCTCCTTCATATACTTTTCACAACACAATAGAGTTCCATAATATCAGTTTTACTGACTAGATAATCCTTTCAGTTTACTATACCAACATGTGGTGCCTTGTAATGCATTAAGAATGAACATTTCTTTTAGAGAATATAAATTTTATTTGCTGACTATGTTGCCTAAAGAGAATCATGATTTTTATAAAATAGTCTGAAATGAACTAGGTACTTCCAAAATATCAAACAGATTGGAGATTTAATCAGTAAGTGTTAATCTAACAGTGTCAGTTAAGAATGCATACATTCTCTTTTATGCCTTGCTATTGATAAAGGAGTAGAAAAGAGAAATGAAGAAAATGTTAAGGAAAATAAAGAATGGAATGAATTCTAGGATGAATTATAATTACTGTATTTCCACTTTCTTTCAACTGTAGATTGATATCTTGCAGTGTGTTGGCCACTGCATCATACTCCAATTTCTGGAATACTTGGTTAGAACTGATTCCTCTTCTGTTGCTTACAGTATTTCTGTGGATGTTCTATCAATTCTGGGAATCTTCTGATTTAGTACTGACAGGAGTGCTTATCTACATTTATCCTGTGGTACTAGATATTTTTCATCTTTGTTTAATATCTGAATCAGTTACTATTTGCCAGTTGTGGCCCTTCAGTGTATCAATTCAGGGTTGGAACCACCATCTCAATTTTTCAGATCTTTTCGAAGACTTTACAAAAATGCCAGTGAACAGATTTAGGATGAACCATGTAAATGAAGACTCAACCCATCTAGGCCAAAAGTATTTAAAAAGATTAAACCATGACAACTGGACCAAAGTTTATTAAAACTGAGACATTTCATTACTTATCCAAGTAACTTCTTCAGTCAAAATGAAAAATTTGGATAGGCAGAGAGTTAGTGAGTTGTTGGAATGAACCAGCCACATTGACTGCAGGGAATTTCTCCCCAAAATGAAAAGCAACATGTAAATGAAGACTCAATTATTCAGGCCACAAGTATTTAAAAAGTTTAATTCATAGCAACTGAACGAAGTTTATTAGTCTCAGTTTTAATAAACGTTCACCATATTGCCATGATTTAACCTTTTTAGATATTTAGGATGGACCATTTTTTCAATGGCAAGTAATAACTTAGAATGAAAAAACACAAGAAAGGAAATGAGTTTTTATTAGGAATACATAGGCAGTTGTTATAATTTTACTATTGTAGTTACAGTTGCTTAACAATCTCTATGAAAACAAGCACCATTTTATTTAAGCTGCAACCTTTTGTTGTGTTTCATCAAATTTAAAACAGCAAAATTATTTTGGTCAGAACAGTACAGTAAATAAATCCACAAAAACAAGGCACAAAATTTCAGAAAATGAACATCAGTCTAGATAGTAATGTTATAGCAATTTGAAATAACCAAACAACAATAACAAAATGTCCCAATCAGGTATGTATTTAAGCAGAGCACTAGCAACATTTTGATCACTTAATAGCTTGAATCAAAGGTAGAGATTTTAAGTTTTAAAAAAGAATATTTAGTTTTTAATCATGTGCATGTAACAGAATTATAGAACTATAATTTTAGAAATGTATTGTTTCCATGACAAAAGTACCATTCAATAATAACAAAAAATGTTCACAATTATCTTGGATTTTTTTTTAATCTCAGCAATATATTTTAGTTATGTTTGGGAGGGTATGCACTTATGTGCGTACTGGAAAGTTTGTTAATAATCTAATGAATTCATTGCAAATCACTCTACCAGCTATTGTAGGTCTAGATTGTGTACACCTTATCTAAAACAATTTTATAAAATTAATATTTGTAGTATCTATCTGGAATTAACAAATATAATAAATATTGTAGTAGTTTGAAGATAGGTTCGGTAAGTAAATAAGAAGGTGGATAGATAGATAGACAAAATCTTTAAAGACAAACAGCATCCCAAAGCAAACTTGACAGACTTGACTGATGACATAATACCCTCTTCTTTTTATGGTGGTGACATAAATGCCAAAGGACACAAAACTGTCAGTCTTGTTGTTTATTTTCTATCTTAGACTAATAAAAGAATGTGTGTGATTGACAGGAGGCAGACATCGGCATGGTCTCAGGCACACAGTGTGCACTTATGTTTGAAAAAAGATATTGATGGTTTCAGGGTTGTGTTATTTATTATTGGATTTTCCAATCCTAACTTTGCTTTCCTTTTTCAAAAACTTTTAGAGACAACTTTATTGATTTTAAAAAATCCTGTAATAATCACAGCTTATTAACAATAATGGTGTCTGAGCAATACAGTGATAATCTGACAAGTTTGCTATAATATTTGTTTTTTTTCTTTTAGTTCCCTTGACTTCTAAAGAATTGCTTTAGTGAGATGGGCATAGAAGTTGAATAAACAAAGAAACAAGAAACTGCTTTTACCATTATGCAGTCACTATGACTAAGTTAAAATACAATCATATAATACCTTCATAAAGTTTCATATATCTTTGAGCCAAGAGGCTTATGGAGTTGGGCAGCCTTCTAAATCAAATAAATGGATGGATGGGTGGATCAGAATAAATGTGCATTGAAAAAAAAATCCATATAGTTGTCAGCTTACCTGGT